GTGAATACCCTGTCATCATAGAGTCTTCAACTAGTAACTGATGGAAGCAGATGCAGAAATCCACAGCCATGTACTAGGCTGAACTCCTGGAGTCCAGTTACAGAGAGGGATGAGGGATTATGTGATCCAGAGGGGTCAAGACCATGAGAGAGAAACCCAAAGAGAAAACTGATTGGAGCTCATGCACTCTGGACCACAGCTGGGGAGCCTGCATGGGACAAAACTAGGCCCTCTGCATGTGCATGACAATTGTGTGGCTTGGTCTGCTTGTAGGGACCCTGGCAGTGGGACCAGGATCTGTCCCTCATGCATGAGCTGGGATTCTGGAGCTCATTCCCTATAATCAGTCTTGATGCAGAGGGGAAGGGCTTGGATCTGCCTCAACACGACTCTCCAGGCTTTGTTGATTCCCCATGGGAGGCCTTACCTTTTCTGAGGCTGGGGGGTAGGACCTGGGGGAGGTGGGGGGAGTGGAAGGAGGGGAGGGAGGGGCAACTGTGGTTGATATGTAAAATAAATAAAAATTTTAAAATTAAAAAAATAATAATAAAAGAAAATATTTAGAAGTACCAAAATTAATCAGTTATTTTAAGACCACTTGTTCCCATTTGACTACATAAATACTGTTCTGTGCATCAATGTTTTATTACCTTGGCTATGAAATAGTCCCAGATACTTAGGTCGGGTGGGATGAACTTCTCTTTGACTGCCAGTGACTCCTGATTTACTGAGGAAGAGGTTATGGGAGAAGATTCTCTGCAAGATACTTTTGATGGACTAAAGTGTTTATTTTGTTTTTCTCCTTCAACTAGTAAAGAAACAAAGAAGAAAACAAATTATTATTAAAGTACTATGTCCAATTGCCATCTTTATGTAAAAGCTAAAGATAACTACAAATAACACACATAAACACAAATATGACTATGAAAGTACAGAGCAGTTGAAAAAGCAGGCAGGAAAAATAAGGAGGAAAAATAGCATTGTATAGCAACTTCTGCTTTTACTATAAATTGTCCTTAATTATCTGAATGCTAATTTATATGTTGTATGTAGTGTATAACAGATGTTGTATATGCCTACCAAAAAAGAAACATTCTACAATTTACTTAGGATTATGATAGAAATTTCCCATAGCCCTCTACTTTTGTGTTTTTTAAGAGGAAGGGGTTTGCTGGTGATTCAACCTAGGGATTTATACATACATGCTAAGCACAGATTTTACTAGTAAACTACCCTAATAAGCACTTGAAAAAAAAAAAAACAGATGACAAGATATCAATATGAATTAAAAATAATGCCACACTTCAATCATTTGTCCAGTAACAAACTTGTCTCATACATTTTAAATATATTTTATTAGAAAATATTTTTAATATTTTGACTTCCATAATAAATTGCATTTATTAAAAATTGAAAAATGGGCTAGAGATGGTCTTTCTAGTCATAAGAATTACACAAAAGAGAAAACCCAGTCTTTATTTTACTTTCTAAAAACTCTAAAATTTCAGTATTCTCTCAGCATTTGCCCTTGGAAACTAAAAACAGTTGTTTCTGAGAAGCAAAAAATCATATGGGAGCTTTATTGAAAAGATTTTTATGACACCAGTGATCAAAGCCAGCGCCTTGCACATGCCATGCAATTAATGCATCACTGAGCTACATATCCATAGGTTATAAAAATGTTCAATCAATACTAAGTCAGAATACATATTATCAACTGTAGACAAATAAGGATCTTGTAGACAGACATAAGCATGACCTAATAGGCAAACAATTCAGATTATGACACAACAATATTTGTCGCCAATGGTTCCAAACGAGATTTACTTACCTTCCAAAGTGATGTAGGTATTTGTGACTTAATTACAATTTTGGTTTATCATTTGGAACTATTCAACTTTAAAATACAACATGCACATGCAATATATGAAGCAACAATAACCTAAGTTTAATGTAGTAATTACGTGATTTTGAAAAAGATGAATGACATATTCATATTCTAAGGTATTACTATATGATAGTGGTTCGACAGTTACTTCATCTACTAAATGATTAAATGAACACATTTAAATCTGTATAAACTTTTGCTTTTATTAACATCTGATGATCAACAATGAAATTTCCAATACATGTTGCATTAAAATTAAATTAAATGGAATAGAAAATGGATATAGACTTTATGAATTACCTAAGAGAAATGGAGAGGATAAAATATAGCTAGTAATAAACAAAGGCATGCTTTATCCAGTAACTGATGGAAACCGATGCAGAGACCTACTGCCAAGAATTGGGCCAACCTTGGTAAACTCTGCTGAAGAGAGGGAGGAAGGATTGTACAAGCCAGGGGGTTCAAGGACGTTACAAGGGAACCCACAGAAATAACTAACCTGGGCTCACAGGAGCTCACAGAGTCTGAGCCAATAGCCAAGTAGCCTACAAGGGACCAAGCTAGGCCCTCTACATACGAGTGACAGTTGTGTAGCTTGGTCTACTTATAGGACTACTAACAATGGGGGCAGAGGCTGTCCCTAATGCTTTGGCTGGCTTTGGGGAATCTATTCTTTATACTGGGTTGCCTTGACCAGACTTGATGTCTGGTGAGGAGCTCAGTCCTACCTCAACTTGACATGTCATGCTTTGTTGATACCCAAGGGAGGCCTGCCCCTTTCTGAACAAAAACAGAGGAGTGGGTGGGGGGATGGGCAGAAGACACTAGGAAGAGAGGAGAGAAGGGAAACTGCAGTCAAGATGTAAAATAAATGAATAAATTTAATTTATAAGAAAAAAGAAAGTCATGCATGGAGGAAAAGCCTGATATAATAAAAAAGCCATAAATTTTAAAAACATAATTCTTATTTGCTTTGAGGTATCCATGTTAAAATAGATTTCACAGAAAAATATCCCTTCCTTTCCTTAAAAATCCAGTTCTGACCCTCAAACATTCTGTAATAGTCATTCCCAAAAGAAATCAAACAGAAATGAACAAATGTGTATGAGGTTACTCCTAAGGCATAGGAATGGAAAACTAGAGAAATAAGAAAGGAATCATGCTTTCTCTAAGTGTTTCTATATTACCGGATTTGCTACCATGGAGATATTACTATGATTAAAAACAAATAAACAAACCAATCAAGGGGCAGAAGTGAGAAGCCGAAGGATAATATGTATGAGGGGGACTGAATAAGCTCCAAATACATTATATATATGCATGAAAATGGCCTTAGGTAACATATATAATAATAAAAATAATACATCAAAAGCTAAGAAGTTTGCTTAACATTTATTATACCATTTTCCTTTTTTATCCATGTATGTATGTATTTGTGTGGCAGTTATGCATGTGATGTATGCACATACTTGCACATGCATGTGGAAGCCAGAGTACAGCTTCAAGTGTCATTTCTCAGTGTCACCCACTTTGTTATGTGAATCAGTGTCTGTCACCAGCCTGGAATCACCAATAGTTTAGCTGACTGGCCTGTAAGCCCCCAGGATCTACCAGTCCTCACCTCCCCTTCTCCAGTGCTGGGTAACAGGCATGTGCCAATATGCCTGGCTTTTTACGTGGGTTCTAGAGGCTGAACCCAGTCTTTCCATTTACACAGCAAGCACTTTACTGACTGAGCTACTTCTCCATCTCCAGCTTACAATTTTAAAGCAGAAATCACAAAACTAGTATTTTGTAACCAGCTTTAAACACTACTTCTTTAAGATCTTAACAAAATCAGCAGAACAATTTTATTTCCTCCTTTTCTACTGAAATCCCACTTATTTTTGGGGTTCCTAGAGGGAATGCAATGAGTACATGAAATTCATAATTGGGGACATTAAAACTTAGTCCCAAAATGCTGGGGAAAAGGTAAAATAGTTAACTTATGAGTTAAAATAGTTTATGTTGAAGGAAATACAGATATGGAAAAGAAAAGACATTAAATTTCAATAAAAATAAATCCCAAATCCATTTCTGGTTTTAGCAAGACAATTCAGGCTAAATCTCTTAGAGGCATGCATACCACAAAGGGTACTTTAGATACAAACCTACCTGAAATCTACAAATAAAACTTCAGAGTCCAAAATGGAAAATACTAAAGAAGCAATGAGTTAAATAAAGTTTTTTCGTAAATAAGATTGCTAATCTTCAAAAACTGACATGATACTATGAGATATAACAACACTTAACTCTCAAGGTCCTCTGAGAATCATTACCTCATATATTACTTTGTATTTTTTCTTTAAGTTTTCATAAAAATAAATTCACGAGCTACACAGCTTTAGTTCCAGATCTTTGGAGGTAGAGGCAAGCAGAGCTCTGAGTTTAAGGCCAGCATGATCTACAAATGAATTTCAGGCCAGCCAGGACTATATAGCAAGACACTGTCTTAAAAAAAATAAATAACTTTATAAATATTTGAATAGGAAGTAGCAATTCTTTTTCTCCAAATCCTATACCAAAGAAGATTCCAAGTTAGTTGAAGTACAAAATGATTCACCGGAAGATGGCAAGAAAATACCAAAACTGCTATTTAGACTTTTTTGGTAATATAAGGGAAGAGAAGAAAGACAAGGGAAGAGCCGGAGAGAAGTAAAAGCAGGGAAAAGAAACAGAAAATAAGAAGGGGGGGGGCAGGGTTAGGAAAAGATGAAAAGAAGGAGGAGAGGGAAAGTGGCTGGAGGAGGAAGAAAACAAGCTTTAGTGCTATAGGCACATGATCACACAGGGCTAAGTCTGGTGACTCATGTTCTGTAAACAGTGTTTTATATCCAAAAATCTATGATCAATGTACTGAAATACTAACTCTAAATTATTACACATACCACAGTAGGAAATATATTCAACCCATTTTGTTGTAGGACTTGAAATAGCCAAAAATGTCAGGAAAAAGTTCTACAGAAAGACAATATGCTTAGATTTAATAACCTTATTAAACACTATTACCCATTGAATGAGGGTATCTAGGTCAGACAGATGATGTACTAATTTTTCTTATCGCTTCTAGCTTTATATATCAAACAGCCTTGATAACGAAATAAAAGATTATCTGTAAAAATATACATTTACATTTCTTTCAAGCCATCCAGGAAGGCTTCTTATTATATCCCATTCTCACAAAAATAAGTGGTATTTAAACATAAAGGGAAGCTTGATATGACACGACCCTTACTAAAAACCTAAGACTAACAAACATGAATTCATTTCCCTCTAAAGTGAGTGTTTTCATGGTTGGCCATCTTTTAGAAACTCTTAGCAATCAGTCACCAGCAATGAGTGTTTGCCGTGCTCAATTGTGTTTAGTCACTGACGTTTATGTTAAATGTACTTGCCTTTTCTGGTAAAAAGTGTTATTCTGCTAACGTGATGATTGTAACAGCATGTAACAGTCACTAATAAAACACTGAGTTTTCATACAAGTTCTACATATACAAATGATATGGACTTTCTGATCTATAGTTAGCATAAATAATAAGAGAGCAGAGATAACTTTAAATGTCTTCAAAATATCTATCATTAGCAGTTTTATAAAAAAAAATGACATGCTTACCACAGTAAAATACTCATTTTATATTTCATTCTATAATTAGGATATAAAATTTTCTGTAAACTTATTGAGAAGACAAAATCCACAAGTTTCATGGCAAATTTTCTCACAAGATGCAAAATTCTAAAAATTTACAATGCGGGAAGCAAAAGTATGGATTTCTAACTGTTTGCATAAAAAGAATAATTTTTATAAATTGTTCTAATTTTCAACTTTAACAATTATCACAAAATAAAAATACCATGAACACACATAATTATAAGCATCAATTATAAGCATCAAAATTTTCATGTGATGCAGAATTCATAAAGAAATTTCATTAACATATAAGTAAGTAAGTTATTTCTATTATTAACTTTTTGGCTAAGAATCCTCAGCTGTCATTCCTAATCAGGTGGCCACAGGGGGCTAAATAGGAAAGCTAGCTAGCTGAGCATGAGCCAGGGAATATCTAGGAAGCAGAGTTCCTCCATGGCTCTTTGCACAGTGACAAAAACCAAACTATAATAATCAGTAAAATGATCACAACAAAGTATATGAGACATGCAGAAAAAAACTTTAATTTAGTTCATAATACAATTATTTCAAAACACTTAAGACATGATTTTATACCAGAGTAAGAAACACAATTACCAACTTTCAAATGCCTTCCTAGCACTAAATCTGAAAACACTTCTTAGAGAACATGTATTTAGGGGGTCCAAATAAGTACTTCATTTTCAGTAAACAGTACTTGAATACTGATTTGTTAGGAAAACAAAATACCCTAGACTACTCAATTTTCATTTGGCTAAATTTAAAAACTTAAAATACACATATTTTAATGCTGACTGAATTCACATCAACTTTCTGAAACACGTTCTTTTATTCCTGTGTTGGTTAATGCTGTCAACTTGACAGCATCTGGAATCACCTGAAGATTGGTCTTTGGGCACACTTGTGGGGATTACCTCGTATTGACTGAGGTGCTATTATGGGTAGTGCCACTTCCTGGCTGACATCCTAGATTATGCAAGCAGAAAAAAAGGGAGCTGAGAAGCAGCAGACATTCACTGTTCTTTACCTCCTAAGTGCAGAAATGACATGACCAGCAGCTCCAAGTTCCTCTTGCCATGACTTTATGCCATGATGACTCTACCTTGAACCGTGAGCTAAAATAAACATTTTCTTAAGTTGCTTCTATCTTATCATAGCAACAGGAAAAGAAATTCCTTATCTATACCTAAACTTACTCAGACTTCTTTGCTGAATTGGTGTGCTTTAAGAATATAATAATGTGTCTGAAAAACTAAGACTTCAGAGTTTCATTTCACACTACCAGCATTCTGGTATTTTATCCTGACTGTTTTCTGGTCCTCAGATTTTTCTCCTGGCCTTTCAGATTATTTGCTTCACAGGACTGGCTGTTTGACCTTGAATACTGTATTATCCACTACTTCCCTTTCTCTCTTCAGTCTCACTCCTCTCCCTTGGCTTCCTTTTCTTCCTGTTCCCTTTCAAACTACATTAGTGTTGGAACCAAAAGCCTTTCCTCTTCATCAACTGATAAATAATGTAATTTATAGTCCCTGTAAATCATACTGTTCATAGTTCCTGTAAGTGCACTTGATATGATTTTCGAGACTATATCCAGATTAGTTTCTGAGTTCTCAAAGACAGATAAGCCTAAATTGGATGTGTTTACATTTAGCCTTACCACAAGATAACTGTGTTTTCATTATTTTATTTGGCTAGCCTGTCCCCAATCCAAATGGGTAAACATACAGATAATTTTTGGTTATGTGATTATGTTTTATTATTGGAGAAAATGATTAGGATAATCATTTGTTAAGATCCTTACAACTGTACAATGCTATATTTTTTTTTTTTTTGCCAACAAGCAATAAATTTTAGTGTTTAAATAAGGATCAACCTGACTTTTGAGTAAGGCTCTTTATATTTATCTGTGCTCGCACAAATACGTGGAACTGTGGGTAGTGATTTGGCTCAGTGGCAGAAGCTTGCCTAACATGCATGCACATGGTTCTGCGCTCAATTTTCAGCATCAAAGAAAAAGAAAGAGTTAAAGCTAAGATTAGACTAATAATATACCTTGTATCTTAAACCATAGATAAACATTGCTTAGCAAAACTTAACCTTAGATAAATTAAATTTAAATAATAAATTTAATCGAGTCTTAAATAATGTTTTAAAAATATTAAAAATTGAGTCAAAATTAATTTACCAATTATTAATTTAATCATTAACTCCCTGACCTTTGAATCTAACGTATGTTAAGGTTTGAAAATTTTTTCATGAACTCAGATATATGAAAAATACAGTCAAGGTGAATTTCAGAGTCTTTTTTTTTTAATTGATAGAAAATGTATCATGGAAAGTAACTTTAAAAAACATTATGATGCTGGGCAGTGGTGGCACACGCCTTTAATCCCAGCACTCAGGATCGAAAAACCACAAAAAAAATGTTTCCAATATTTTATTTGAATATTTAAATTTATATATTTTAGTAATCTTTAAAAATCTAATGCCATTATAGTAACAGGCTTTCTGGTGTAAATTAAGCCCTCAATCTACCCCACAAAATCCAAAAAACTATAATGTATGTTAATAAATCAGAAAAAAAGAAGGTTTAGAAAACATCATGAGAATAATTTTCAAGTTGAAAAGGTGGGTTGTTTTAATTTTATTTAAATATAATACATGTAGTTTTAACATCAGAAATGAAAGGATACAATTACTTAAAACTATTTACTTTTCATAATATTAAAAACACTTAGAAATCCAAAAACTCTAATAGCCAATCATAATATGCAAATCATAAAGCAGCCTTCTGGGAAATGCTTTCTCAGTCATTTCAAGCCATACTGTGATTTTCTATGATCAGAACTAGCAACCTTTTTCATTTGGTTTTGTGCACTCAGAAATGTAAAATTTAGGGACAGAAAATATACAAAACCGTATTTGAAACTACAATGGAATAGCAGAGTTTTATAAAATGCTAATCATTGTTTTAAATCAAAAATATGGCTTGAGTAAAAGAAATTTGTCATTTTTTCTTAAATGCCAAACAAAACAAACTATCCCACTCTATGCAACCCTTCAACAACAACACAAAGCAAGCTAAATTGTAAAAGCCTATTTCTAAAGCTAAGATCTTGCCTGCAAGAGTGGGAGGGCTATGAGAACTGATGGCTGAAAGAGCTTTGGAAAAGCCCACACATTCCATGGAGAATACCACTACCTGGTGAGGGCTAGGCATAGCAAAGTGCCTTCCTGCCAAAGAAAGAAGAGAAAAATCTGTATTTGGAATACAACAAAATCCAAAGTGACAGTGTATTTCAAAAGAAATGAAGATTTTACTACTAAGAGACAAATTCAAGTACATTAAACAGTCTAATCATCAGTGCAGGAGAATCTTAAAGACTGAAAACTGCACCAGAAGCTTTAACACTTCATTTTCTACCACATTATTCTTTGCTGATGGTCTTGAATAACAAGAGTTTCTGACACAAAATCTAAGCATAATTACAGTTAATAAAGTTATCCAGATGAATAAAGCTTCAGCTTTTTAAAAAAAAAATGAGAGGAAGAAGAGAGAAGGGAGAGAGGGGAGGAAGGAGGGAAAAGACAGTAAAAACTTACCAGAGGAGGCCTTTGAGTGCATCTGTACTCCTCCACCAAATACTGCAGACCACATATTTTCATTTAGGGGATGGGCTACAATCCGAAATAGTTCATTACTAGAATGTGTTGCCAGCCCATGAATGAACAGACTAAGATACACTGCAGTGAGAATTTCACAAAGCAAGACTGTAAGTCCTGATTGAGCTTCTTCACCAGAAGAATTCAAAAGCTGAATTAGACAACTTATTCCTAGGAAGAAACAAACAAATAAAACCTGTCATTAGCAACAACAATAAAAACCTTTTAAAAGTAGCCGGGCGTTGGTGGCACACGCCTTTAATCCCAGCACTTGGGAGGCAGAGGCAGGTAGATCTCTGTGAGTTCGAGACCAGCCTGGTCTACAAGAGCTAGTTCCAGGACAGCCTCCAAAGCCACAGAGAAACGCTGTCTCGAAAAACCAAAAACCTTTTAAAGTTAAAAATTAAACACATTTTCTACTTTTTGAAAAAAATGTACTCATTCAGCATTAAATATTCTCCCCCCTTTCACCTGGATTCATAACCAGTAGGTTATTATGGTTTAAGAGCAATTGCTGAAATATTTGTTTAATTTAGATGAACTGAAAATTAAAACTTATGTCAAATCTCACAGTTAAAATGTTAACGGCATAAATATTTTGATAAAATATTTAGAATTGTTTAAGAAACAATTTAACATAATGAGCTACTTTAATATAATGATCAAGGAAATATTTATTCGCTAACATGTAACAAGAGCCTTTTGCAACTAAGTTAAAATGTAACCAAAGAATTTGCATTGATTTTGTAATGGTGTCAAATCTAGCAATATTTAACAATGATCATCAAATGGTAAAACTAAGCCAAATCTCCTTCTTATCATTTAACATTTCAAATAAGGTTAAAAAAATAACTCATATATGTAAATTACTTATACCTGGCCATTGAGCTGGTGATGTGTTGGGAGTTACTGATTCATCTAAACTTCCTGTTCTCAAAGAATGTCGATGGGCAAGCAGTACTGTCTGATACACCATTCCAGTAAACTGATTCGTCTGAAATGAACTAAGAAAGGAAACAATATTTAAACCTAAGGTGAATTCCATATTCCCATTCTTAGATACAATTTCTAAGTTACCTTAAATAGAAATTTTTGTTCTTAAATTATACTGTTTTTATTTGTAAGTTATATGCTCTGTGGTGCTACATTATATTAAAACAGTATCCTTTAAAGTGTAAATATATATATTCTAAGCTAAAACAAATTTGAAAATGTCTAGAATATTTATTTAGTGAAATATAAAGTATACACTTAAAAACAAACACATTATTTAGGGGCACAAGAAGCAATCTTACATGTATAACTTTAAAACAAAGCTATTTGATTGAAAATGTAGTGGGCATAGGCTCAATTTCCCTCCACCCATAGGTGTAACATAAACATCTATCAATGGATTGAATCCCTCTGAAAGAAAGTCAGAAACTAGCTGAGAACTCCCAGCCTCTAGATAATTGAGAAATATGTGTATTAAATAGGTAGGAAAAGCTATGACACAATCAGGTATGAAGTCACTTCATTACAAACTTGGGTAGGTATCTATCTTCTTGTGAAGATAAGGAAACGGCAGACTTCAAGTACTAGCCTCTAACTCAAAGTTCTCTACAACTTCACTCTTTTTTTCTCAAACTTGTTTACATCATCATTTATTCCTCTTCTTATGTCCCTCCTGATCTTTTTCAAATTCTTGACTTATTAGTGCTATGTGTGTGTGTGTGTGTGTGTGTGTGTGTGTGTGTGTGTGTGAGAGAGAGAGAGAGAGAGAGAGAGACACACACATAAACCTACTGAGTCCATTTAGAAACGCTTATCTGTTCATGTGGCTAATCAGTTGGGACTGGTAACCCATTAAGAGGTTTGTTCCCTGGAGAAAACTCATTCATTCTCCCTATCTCAGCATCCACTGACTGCTTTTTAGCTCTTAATTTACAGGTGAGATCATAAGATTCCCCTCTCTATGCTGTTTGGGCACACACTGCTGAGATTTCATGGCTCTTGTTTACTTTCCATGTCTAGAAATGATTACCTTGAAGCAGGAATCCTCGTTCTTTATCTCTTAAAATCTTTCTCCTTCCTCTTTCATGATTTTCCCTGAGCCTTAGGTGTAGGGTTTGTGTTATTTGTGTGTGGGGGTGGGGTTGGGGAAGTTAGGCACCCCATGCTCAATTGTTCTAAAATCTTGATTTATCAACTAAGGGAACAGAAAGGATTAGATATAAAAGATCACTCTAGTCTTAACACGTACCAGGAAGAGTACTACTACCTGGAAGTAGGAACAGGACTTAAATAAAAATAAAACAATGCAGAGCTCCCAATCCTGTTAACCCTCTGCACCCATTACTGACTGACTCGGTGTTGACAAAATATCCCAGCCAAGAGCTATCTATGGCTTGGCTTTTAATCAACTTGAATTTAAAAGACACAATCATTAATCTTTCATTTGTGGTAAAATGAATGAATCCTAAGGACATCATATTAAATGAAACAAGCTAGGCACAGGGGTTAAAAAATACTGCCATTTTTCTCCCACATACGGATTCTATAAAAGTTATCTCATGGAAGCAGCTGAGTAGAATAGTGGTTACCAGAAACTAAGGAAAGGAGGGCAAAGCAGAGAGGCAGTGTAACAAAGAACAAGTTAGATATAAGGAATAATGTCTAATGTCTAATAGCACAGCACAGTGGCTACTGGTATACTGTGCTATTTCAAAATACCTATGACAGGATTTTGAATCTTATCACAAAGAATAATAAATACCTAAATATCCAGTTTTGATCATCAGACATTGTGTACATTGTCATACAAACTGTACTGCATAAATATGAACAATCAATATGTATAAATTTAAAGAACCAATTTGCAGTCTTAAAGTGAAAAACCTGTTCTCTTCTAATGAGACAAAAAGGAAGTTGTTCTGGGTGGAGGTGAGGTGGGATGGAACTGAAAGGAGGGTGAGGAAACTGTAATCAGGATATATTTTATGAAAAAGAATATATTTTCAATAAAAAGAAAAAAAGACAAAAAATTTCTGAAACATATACCACCTAGAGAGAAAATAGTACATATTACAGAAGAATGCACCAAGATATAGAAAATAAAATAGGGATTTGTCTGGAAATGAAACAAATAGATAAAAGAGTGCATGAAGTTAAAAAAAAAAAAGCATGGACATAGAGTTCCAGTATCTGTCTCAAAGAGTAAAAAATAGAAGACAGATAATGCTTAGAGAAACAATGTCAGAGTATTTCAAAGAACTAAAGATACACACTAGAATGTCAATGTTTAGGCTTTTAACAAATTATACAAAATATAGGATTTGAAGAGAATATACCAAATTATAGAACTTATCACTCAAGTATGATGCTATATTATCACCCATTCATCTACCTGTTTTTAACCAAAATGATCTTAAGCAAAGATTATTTTACTTAGTTTTAGTTTCTCAGTATCTATACAATATTTAGCATGATGGTAGTGATCAATTATAAGCAGCTAAGTAAGTTACAAGGGTTAGCTTTGGTGTCCTTTGTCATAAAGGTATAAGCTGAAATTTCATAGATGAAAAAATATTCAACATCTCAGTCATGTGCTTTGTGCACTTACTGAAAGCGGTGTTATGTATGGTTTTGAATTAATAATGTATAGATAGGAAACCTCACTGTTTACTGAAAGTGATCTTAAATTTCACAAGAAGGTATTTACCTGTAGTTATGACTACCACAAAGGCACTGATAAATACAAGCAGAAAGTGAAGCTGCTAAAGTATGCATTACATATACCTGAAAAAAAAATACACAATTACTTTAAGTAGAATTTTTTAATTATAATTTTGCCAGAAAGGAAATGAAAAGTCTTTTGCCTCTGTAGGCTACATTCTTCTTTTTGTCCCCCTAAGAACAGTTTCTACCCACAGAAGTCACTCTATAGAAATGTTAAAGAAAAGACAGAGTTCTCTGGCAGATATTACAAACCACACAACCTATTACCAAATTTCTCCATAACAAAGAAGAGAAGTATGAATTACTCAGAACAATATGAAATCCTTCAAAACACAGTTTGCTTTTTCTTAAACAAAATATGAGTAAGTAAATGTAATAAATGACAGTTCACTTATGACAGGTCACTGAAGCAAATGCTAGCATGCATTATAGTCATCTGAGAATGAAACTTTAGAGAAAGGAAAAATAAGAAAGGCAGTTGTAGTATGAATAATAAAAACCCAGAGACAGATATTGGAGTTCAAGCTGAAGATCAGAGAAGCAAAGCAGCCAGCCACCAGAGAGTTCTTTATCTCTACCAAGGCTCAGACCAAAAGGGGCAATCCTGTCCTTAGAGTGACTGTGTACTGACTGACTCCTGTCTCCTCCCATGTTATATTCCTCTCTAGTGCTGGGATTAAAGGTGTGCACCTGGACTACCAGCTGGCCTCTATGGCTAACTAGTGTGGCTGCTGGGATTAAAGGTGTGTGCCACCACCACCTGGCCTGTATGGCTGACTAGTGTGGCTAGCTTTACACTCTGATCTTCAGGCAAGCTTTGTTAGATCATAAACAAAATATCACCACATTTCCCCTTTTTTATCTAATACAAAAAGGAAGACTATAACTAACACAAGAAAAACTATATACAATAAGTACAATAACTATATACAATATATATAGTAGGGAATAAAAACATCAACAATGTATAGTTTATTTGCATTTGGCAGTGAAAGCAAATAACTGTTTTAAGGGAGAAAGGATTCTAACCTGTCATGACAGGAGCTATAATAATAGAAGCCAGGATGAAGAAGATTAAGGCAGAAGAAAGCAGGTTAGAATATAAAAGATTATCTGATTATAAAGTGTTAAGTCTTTCATGTAGATAAAATGGGTAATGATAGATAAAAGTCTACTTGCTTTTTGGGCTTCAACTATCAATAAGACCTACGGTTAAAAATATCATATACTGAAGCCAGAAGAATGCAAATATGATAATAATAACTGATAGTATCTCTCCAATATAGGGTTTGTATCTATTTCTCTATTTACTGGTCTCTGATTTGACCCATGAACAGAACAGAAGAAATATGTGAACCCTCAGCTTACAACTTAAAAGGCAAATTCTACTCTTGTTGCTCTTAAATCCCTGAACCTTTTGTGTAACAAAGAGAAACCAAAGAGAAACCAAGTGTTACATTACTCTGAGTGACTCGCAAAGGGTATTTCTAGAAGACAAGAATATCTAAAGTAGTCTGATTAAAACAGATTGACCTCTCATTTGCCAATTGACTGGGAGATCTAACAAGAAGAGAGGGTAAGAAGCAACACATTTTTTTTTTTTTTTTTGGTCATCACTCTCCCTTCCCCATCTTCAAGGTCTAGTTGAAACATGAGCTCTTCTTGGATATCATGCTGTTTACCTTTAGAATAGAACTTACTTCCTAAGCATTGAACCTGGACTGGAACTATAAGGTCAGCTCTTCTATCCACTAGTTCACTATGTATAAATCCTTGAGCAACCTCAGCCATCACAGTCACTGTTGTGGCTTAGATGAGAATGACTCCTGCAGGCTAGTATATTTGGATGATTGGTTCCCAGTTGGTAAACTGTTCAAGGATTAGGAGGTGTGGTCTTGTTGGAGGAAGTCTGTCACTGGGGTGTGCTTTGAGGTTTCAAAGGCTCATGCCAAGCCCTGTCTGTCTCTGACTCCTGCTTATGGATCAGGATATAAGCTCTCAGCTACTGATCCAGCCTCATGCCTGTGTGCCACCACAGTTCATGTCACAATGACCATAGACTAACACTCTGAAACTGTAAGCAAGCCCCCAATATAATGCTTTTCTTTTATAAGCTATCACTACAATGAATAGAAACTAAGATAGTCACATATGCCAATTACTTATAAACAATTTCTTCCCTCTTCCTCCTTTCCTACTCCACTGCACTCTTCATACATCCTATCAGTTCTACTTCTCTGAAGAGACCAGTTGAACGCATGTGACTTGCCTAGCTGGAGGATAAGACACATAAAGTCAAATCTGTCAGTCACAAGAAAATAAATGGGGCTGTATCACCTAGAATCTAGTTATACACCAGAATGATCAAGAATAAATGAGTTCATAGAATAGCCAAGTTGGAGCTGGGCATTGGTGGTGCATGCCTTTAATCCCAGCACTCAGGAGGCAGAGGCAGCCTGGTCTCCAGAGCGAGTGCCAGGATAGGCTCCAAAGCTACACAGAGAAACCCTGTCTCGAAAAACAAACAAACAAACAAACAAACAAAAAGAATAGCCAAGTTGACTCAAAAAAGAAATAACAACTGATGGGATGAAAGTAAAGCCAGTCATATTTCAGGATAGTTCTTAAGCAGCAGCAGGTATTTAGGAAGGCAAAGCTAAGATGATACAGCATGGATTCCTGTAATTAATGTTAATAGGCCAGCAAGATAGCTCAGCAGGTAAAGGATTTTCTAACAAGCCTGAGTCTGCTCCCTAAGGCACACACAGAAGAGAAGTGATTCCCAAGAGTTGTCCTCTAACATGTAAGTTGTAGCATTCAAGTATGCATACACACACACACACACACACACACACACACACACACACAATTAAAATATATGTGTGATAAAGTAACAATAAGGAATGCAGTTTGTTGAAAATGAGCAGTTTTCAGAAAATTAATTTTCAAATTATGTAGTATGTACTGTAGGGATTTCTACTATAGAGTAATACAGGAAAAGAAGTGGGGGGAAACCCAATAAATTGTGGAAGGAGAGTCTACTATCAGGAGAGCAGAAAATCAAACTAGTATTTTATCATAACCTGGGAAGTAGCAGGAATCTTAAGGCGATGTCAGAAAAAATCCCAAGGGATATGCCAAAACTGTCAATTAAAACCCGTCATTAAAGGAATCTCAAGAGAGGAAAGATGAATTATTGTTTCAACAGGAGATAAAGTACAGTGAGAGGGATAAGAGGATTGTGTGATCAATTAAATTAACTATCATATGTTTAGTATATTTTAAAGAAGTTCCAAGTTTCTTAGTAACAAACTTATTCCTAAGTCTCTCTCATGGATGATTCAATAAATCTGGAACAAACTTAGGAATTCAAACTTTTAGCAGTTAATTCTGCTAGCCTTCAGAGGACAGGTGACAATATACTCGATATTATTTTTAAGATGTGTAGCTTAGTATTGTCATGGGAATAATTCAGTTACCTGTTAGTGCTTTTACACTGAAATATTAAGCTTCTATCCTTTAAAAAATATAGTATTCCACCCATTGAAAACATTCTATTCTTTATAAATTTAAGAAGGGCCAGAGAGATGGCTCCATGGGTTGCACCTGTCACTAAACCTGATGACATGAGTTAGATTTCCAGAACTCACATAGTAGAAAGAAAGAACTGACTCCTGCAAATGTCTTCTGACCTCCATATGTGCAGTGGCATGTGTGAACTCATACACATACACACAACTTTTAACTCAATAAAAAAGGGTAAGGAATCTACGATTTGTCTAGATATATACTTGTTGCTTCTAAGTGTGTGTGTGTGTGTATTAGATTTTTAATTGTGTTTTGTGTGTGTCTTGGTGTGGATATAGAGGCCAAGAACAACTTCCACAACTTGCAGTAATCTGTTGCAGTAATCTGTTTTCTTCTTCCACCATGTAGATACAAAGCATCCAATGCAGGTTTGGTAGTAAGTGTCTTTAACAACTAAGTCATCTCTCCAGCCCAGTTTTTTAATCTTAATGAAACTAATGGAGATTAAACAATTGACACACTGAACTTAAAAAGAGCTCAAGTATCCTATAAGATGTAAGTAACACAGTAAGTCTGGCCTATAACCAGATACCTTACATGGCAATTGTTAATACAATGAATATTATGTCTAGCCTGCTGTTATTTGTTTTATTAGAAAGGATTAACATTTATATCTTCATTTTATCATTCTGTGTAAGTAAATTAAAAGCTTAAAATCAAACTGAAAATACTCATAAGAAGCAAAATAAATCAGATTCAGGAAAGCAAGTACTTGAAGGTAGAGGGAAGCCTACTTGAGAAAAGAAGAAATCAAGGAGAAAAGAAATGAGTACATAAGGAGAGGAGGGGTCTAACAGAGAGTGTATGTGGACAATACAATTGAACATTTTATACATGTGTAAAAACGAAATAAAATCTATCATTTTATCTAAGTAATATACATTGGTAACAGAAAAAGCTTGAAATGAAGCATACTTACTTTATTACTTTGGCTATCAGGATGAGGTGGTGAATCAAAATTTATTATGGCATGTAGAATATCATGTGTTAGATTACTAAGGTGCAACAATGGATTGGCAACTACTGTTTTGGCACTGGCTGTACAAGCAAAGAGAAGAGGCACTGAAGTTTGTTCTGACAGAGGGTTAGGAAATATTGGTTCTGCTGTTTCCTTAAAAATAAAGAGGAAAAAAAGTTAAACAAATATTTTTTAGTTTTAATCTACTTCCTAGTAATTCAGGGGATCTTTCAAAAAGCTTCAAAACTAAAAATAAAAGCATTCAGAGTACATATACCTGAATTTGTTATGACCTGAGAAGGAAAAATGTATCTATGGCTGTATCTAAAATGGTAATACTCTTAGCACTCCTCTATAAGGTAAAGCTCATTACCTCAGAAGGCATTAATAAGACTGTGTTCATACAAATTAAGCAAGTCATAACACCTGACACGATCTGTTCTGCAACTGTAATGTACACAGCTCCTCCAACTCCTACTATGACTACACATAAAGATTCATTCCTTGAAGCAACTGTAACAAAGACAAGTATTAACATTTGAAACTAAAAAAACAATACCAAAAGCAACTTCAGACATACAGTATCTTTTTCTTTAAATAAAGCTTTAAAATTTAACATAATTATATTACTTCCTTTCCTTTCCTGCACATG